GGGCCAATATCGATAGAGTGAAAGTCACTGTGGACGTCAACCTTTAAAGGGGCTACAATGTTAGGAGTTTCACATTGAGTAGAATTGCAAACCCAATTTGATACTTGAGACATGAGACTCTCTCACCTAATAGACTAGTCTTTTAGGTCTTTAAGTCCTAATAAGAACACATTCCATAGGTGCTTCATTTATTCAATTTGAGAGAAAATATTTTACTGCTTTAGGTGCTATGGTGAATTGGAATTTCTAAGAGACTATAAATGCTCTGTGATGCAATTATGAGATTTTAAGTTTTAGTTGTCATATATTTTTGGTACATGAAAATTGACTTGGTTCTGATTTTCGTTCCTATAATTTGTTTACAACTTTGTTCCTTAAATGCACTAAAAATCTGATTTTAGTCCTAAATGATGTTATGTCTTGTTCTCCTTTCTATAACAATTCGAGCTTCTGCTTCTTCATCACTTATTACGCGGTTTTAAGTTTTAAGTTTTAAAACAATTTCATAGTAAAAGTAGTTTTCAGCTTTATAGTGCATTTTTAATATTTTTGTGGTTTTCAACTTTTAAGTTATTGTCAACATTATAATTCCTTTTATCGTCACCATGCTTTCCTGCATAACCCTCTACTATAACTATTATCTCATGACATGCTTGGATGTAGGAGAGGGATGATTCTAGGAGTGGTGGAGGTTTTCTAGGTGTTGTTGTTAATCCTTGCAACAATTAAATATGACACCAAAATATAATATTAGTTGAGTTATCGTCAGGTCGGTATCTTTAAAACGTTTTGCAGTACTATCCAAAATATGCGAGCAAACTATCAATCATGTCGCCCTCAAGATAAAGTAACTTAATCATTTAAAGGGTGTGTTTGATGACACAAGTAAATCGAAATTGTAATAATATGATAAATAGAGCTAGGATTGAACTTCACACTTACTATATGTACAATCTTGATTCTTAAAGCGATTCATTCAGTAATAATTATTTCATACAATGACTTAAAAATTAGTAAAAGCTAATGTCTTAGTCAATTTAGCAACTTATGCAAGAAAGGCCTATGTCTAGTGACGTTGATACATAAGAATAAGCAATATGATCATGTCCTTATGTCTAGTGATGCAAGAATGTAAGTTGACTAAAAATGCAATACCTCAATTATGCTAGCAGCCAATGTTTTGATTTATACTAACATTTTACCAAAAGTAGATTCATGTCTAGTAACTACAATGATAAAATTCAATTTTATGAATCTTCAAACACATCTCTATGTCTAGTGATATATGCTATTCAGTTTGTAAGTTGTAAAATCACAATATTAGTTTTATGTCTAGATACCAACGAGTTAAGTGTATGAAATGACAAATAATACAAGTCTATGTCTAACAAATGTACTATTTGTTGAGTTATGCAAGTTCAGAATAACGCAAGTAAGAGACTAAACAAATTATTAAATAATCATGCAATAAGATGATCAAACTTAAAACAAGCATATAGTAAATGTAAAATTCAAATATAATCAAAACTTCTTAAATTAATGGTGAATTAGTGTCAATGCATCAAGCTCATGCAACATTCAATCACAATAAGGGTTTTAGCTACTCATTTTCACAAGGTATAAGTATGATAGGGATAAAACAGAACTTATGGGGTGATAGAACGTAGATTAACTCCTCTAATACATACACTTTGAACCCATGACTAAAATGAACTAAATTACCATAGAAACTTAGAAAAAAAGTATTACAAATCAATATTATAAACTGTATCTCCTTTGGTTCGAATTGGAAGTCCTTCAATAGTGTTAAGAGGTTGTCATATGCGCTCAGCGCACCTCTAGGTGGCTTTTGGTGACCTTTCAGCACACAAAATTGCATTGGGGACACATCGGGGTGCTCAGCGCACCACCTACTACGTTTAACGCAAGTGGATGCACTCAGCGCATACCAAATATTAGCCAAATGCTTATTTTCATTGGAGTGAATGAAGGAGTTATCGTGATTTTACTCAAACATGTCATGGTTGAACTCTTGTTTTTGCCTGAAACTTCTCTTTTTGCAATTATTCCCCCGGACTAAGCCTACAAAGCACTCCACAGGTAACACTTAGCCATTTAAATAAGTTTGAATCATATATGAGTACATTTTCATTTGTTTGAGTTGATTAAGTAGTTAAAGTGCAGTAAAAGAGTGTACAAAATATGATCAATTTGACACTTAACAACTCTAAGAACCGATCTCGAATACAACCACAATTTACTTACCGATGTTAATTCTCAAAATACCAACAATATGACTATTACTGTCAATTCTCAAATTTATAAGTTTCCCACAATCTGGCTATCATTACAAGTTCTCAAAATTTCTACAAATTTGGTTGTCCGTGCTAATTCTAGTGCCACGAAAAGAAACAAAGAGAAGGGAGTCGGAAATGCTTTGGCATAGAGAGAAGAAAACACTACATTATTTTCTTCCATTCTTTGCCATGCTTTTATTGTGTTTGATATAGTTAAATGTTGCATTATCTTAATTATTTTCTCATTCTTTTTATTCCTCTTGTAGTATTTAGTATAATATAATATTATCTAATATGTTTTTCTTTCAATCTTAATTTTTCCTCCTATTTTTTATTATTTTAAACTTGTAACTTTATAATAATATAAATTGTTATAACTTTTATTTATAGATGTATATTTTATTATATTTGATCTCATATATACATAAATATATATAAAATTTTGTATTCGATTAAAGTTATATATATAGCTTGGGGAAGATTCCTTCATATCTTCGAGATTTACAAAATACTAACTTTTATGAGTTTAATTAGAACTATTTTTAACTTAATTTATATAAGTAAGTCATGTACATTTAGGGCTGAAAACAAGTTAGATAATGTATTCCCTTAAACATATATAGGATTTTGAGCCTACCTGGCATAAATCTAACTTATTTAAAAGTCTAGTATAAGTCTATTTAAAAATCTTTAAATATAACAAAATACCTACTTTTAAATTGGCTAACTAGTTTTATCATCATTTTGTTTCTCTTTCCACTAAATAATCAAATATATCTTTCACTTCACCAAAACATTCTCTAATCTTTTACTTTCAATCTAGCTATCCTAAAAGGGTTACATTTCTTCTAGACAAGGGTTACAGATTTCACATAGCTATCCTAAAAATATGTATTGTCACTCTATTGAACACCACTCTTTGTTTTTTATTGTATTGAATCGGGTTTGAATTTGTTGAACATTTTTTTTCCATTTATTTATTTTGTAATTTAGTTCTTATCCTTATGTTTGAAATTTGAAAGAAATGGGTTGTTAAATAGAAAGAAAAAATTAGGAAGTAATGAAGGTATATATATAACAAAGTAGTGTTGAGATGATTGTTCAATCTTGGTTCCAGAACACGTCATGACCGCCCAAATCTGTGCCGGTTAGTCATCAAGTTATAGAACCACAAACCTCTGTTACAGAATTGTTACGTCATCTAAATAATACATACCTCTGCTACAACACTGTCATGTTGCATGGACAATACAGATTTCTCCTACAGAGCTGAACATGTCGTATGAATCGTGTGTCACCCTCTGCCATGCGGTAAGGAGAAACCTAATATACGACTATGACAACTAGGGCAAATGACAAAACAAATCACTCTGGATAAAGCATCGTACTAGCCAGAGTACAAGTATATCAGAGTCGCCCAACACAGATAAAGTAGTCTATGCTTGTATGGGACACGTCTGACCAGACATGACGAGGTTTGTGATGCCAATAGCATCTAGTAGAGAATATTCAATGTTCATCTCCTCTATAAATAGAGGAGACCAATCATAAGGAAGTTAACACTTAATACTCTCATATATTTTTATATAATTATTCTCTCCATATCTTCATATATACTTACTTGAACCTCAGAGTGCCTTTTCTAGTATCCACCTACACACTTCTGGATCATGTTTTACCCGAATTCAGCAACTCCAACCCGACCTTCACTATACAAAAGAACAATGATCAATGGCACAATCAATTCCACCAGTATCTAAACATGAAAGGTACCCAATGTTGCTTTTGGATAAATGCACATTTAAAGATAAATGCGATTTTGAAAAATCAACACCAAACATGAGCATGATTGTTCCTATGTGGTTTTTCTTATTGTCAAATTAGTCTATAAAATATTAAGTTAAGTGTTGCAAACAAGTATAAAGAGTTCTGGAATCCGTAAGAACTTGTTGGATATTAGCCTTTCAAACCTTGATTGCTATTTTAAATTGTTTTCAAAATAGTTTTGTTTGTTTGTTTGATTATACTACTATTACTATTTGATTAACTATTTGGATAAAAGATGTGGGGATATAACTTTCTAATGACTCTCAATACACACACTTGACTCGGTAACACTAATTCACCTAGCTATAGCTCATTTGCACAAACGACCTCAAAAGTACTAATAGTTAATGTCATAATCAATTTAGTAGCTCATGAATTAAAGCAAAAGATACTTCCATGTCTAGTAACTTTACATGCAAGATGATGATTTATGACTCACAAACATACCTCCATGTCTAGCAACTATGTTTGCGAAATTGAGTTTTAATACAACACCACAAATGTACTAATTACCAATGTTTTGGTCATATTAGTACCTTATTAAAATAGTTATATCTTTAGTAACTAAAATGAAAAGATGAAGATATATGAACTATTAACACACATATTTGTCTAGCAACTAAATTAACAAGTTGAGAGTTATTTAGTTGTTGAATTAGCTCTACTCTAGTAACCAAAAAAATAACTTGCATAAAGTGGCAAATTGATATAAATCTATATGTAGCAGTTTTACTAATATGATGAGTTGAATAAAGTCAAAATTACAACAAGGATTTCTCCATAATTTTCATTTACAAATCACACAAGAATGTGACTAATCTTAAAGTAAGCATTAAGCACATACACAACTCAAGAATCAAAGCATAAGGAATTAGTCTAAATCCAAATCTATGTGCATACATCAAGCTCATATTACATTCAATCCCAACAACAAATAAAATAGCTACTCATATTCTTGATAACTAAACACAAATAAAAGAAATAGAAAATAAAACTCATGAGTGAGAAATTACAACTCCAATGAACATGGATTAGATCCTCTAGCACTTACTCTTTGCTCATACACTTGTAATAGAGCTTAATTAGCCTAAGAACCAAGAAAATTTTGAGTTACAAGTATATTATCCGAGGTGTATATTACAAACCCAATTTGATTCATTTTTAAAGAGTTTGAAATCTGCAACATGCGCTCAATGCAGTCAATTTTGCTGAGTGCGACATTTCATCTAGCCAGATTTGACCTTTTAGCTAGCCAAACTATGCTTAGCGCAGGTACTCCTTTCGCTCAACACAAAGAGCTCCGCTGAGCGAGGGATTGGCGATGAGTGTGACCTTCAAAGTTTGTCTGATCTACTAATTGTGGCTTTTGTGTTAGGCATGGGTTATTTTTGTCTTAAGGAATATAATGATTATGTTGATTTATAAATTATATTGTACATTTTTTCTTAATATATCATTTTCTATCTATATAGTCAATAACTTTTTTCACTTATTATGTGAATTAATACAATATTAAATATAGTTAGACATGAAAAATAACAACAAACACATTACTAAACTTTTGCACGGGCATAAAATAGTTTTTTTTCCCTTCAAAATATACAAATAAATAAGAACAAATAAAATATTTTAGATTGAGGATAATCATTAATCTTTTGCAGTTAGGGCTTCACTTTTAATAACATAATTGATGTTAGTCAAGTCAAATATCTCATCATTTTGGATTTAATCTCTTATGACAACTTTGTGTACAAGTGTTCTATTTTAGAAACCGAATAATAAAGACTGAAATATTTATTTGTTGGAAAAAGCAAGTTGTGAAAGTTCTTATCCACTTTAAAAATATAAAAAATAAGAAGAAAAATAAAGAAAGTTTCTTTGTTCACCTTACTCTATATGAACAATCAAAAGAATCGCATCAACATCTCTATTTTCACACGCAACTTAGTCACGTCTTGGGAAATCATCACTATTTACAGATATTTTCGTTTTTTTAGAATTTTAGGTGGGATATACTTGTCTTTGTAAAAAAAAATTATGTTAGTGTCGTCATACATTGTTTTATGAAAAGCACAAATATTATTGATTTTCGAGTAAATAAATATTTATTTCAAATTCCTTATGTTTTTCGACCTTACCAACTTAGTTCCTAATAATTATAAATTATCAATTTAGCTCTTAATATTTTTCAACGTTTATCGTTAATTCGTCACATGGACAAATGTTTTGTGTCTATGCTGGCAAGTTTGACAAATCGACGATGTGTTTTAAATTATTTTTTCTTGTTGTTTTATTTAAATATAAGGAAGTTGTTTTTATTTTAATAAAATCTGTGTTTAAACAACGGTGGTTTGGTTTAATTTTAAAAAAATTAAACTAAAATGACGGTCGTTTTGACATATTCTTTCATCATAATTTGAATTTCTATCCAAATATTTGACTCACATAAAAAAAATTGAATAATATTTATTTCCCTCCTACAAAAAAATTGTTATGAATAGAGCGCAATGCAGAAGCATAAGATCGGATCAATTGAGAACTAAAGAGAAGTAAATAAATGAGCAAAAAAATAACACACAAGATTTAACGTGGAAAAACCCCTCAGTGTGAGAGGTAAAAAAACCACGGGCGCTCACCAGCAAAGTTCCACTATATAAAATGGAGAGTACAATAAATCCTCTTATAGTAATGAGGACAAAGAATAATATTTTTCTCACAAATATTCTCTCAAATGGAACAACAATTATCACTACAACACACTCAACAATTTAGTGTCACTTTATGTTGCTGTGATGGATTTTTGATGATTTGAACCCAATGCAACCAATGCCTTTTATAGGCAAAACTTGTGATAGAATGAATTCCTTAGCATAGAAGGAAAAATTCAGGCGGTGCAATTAATTTTTGTAGGCGCCGCATTGCAGTAACAATGCCTTGAGCCACACAAATGTAACAAAAATCATAATGTCACAAAAGGGAAGAGACAGAAGGAGGAAACCTTGAAATATGGACACTGATAACCTTGAAATATGGATAACCATAGAATTGTCTCTTAGAGTTTCTTTAGAGTTTTTGATGTGTATAGAATATAAAAGCTATTACAATAGCAGATTGGAGGAGGAAACCTTCATTGCTTAGATCAGGGTTGTTATACATGCTCACATTGCCATAGGTTTTTATATTCAATGGGTATGGAGATTTAGCACTATAGAATAAAAGAGTTAAGGATTCAGGGTAAAGTTTATAGGAAAAACTGAGTTAAGTTAGAAGAAGAAAAACAAAGCAATGTTATTTTGGGATTAATTTAAAAAAATTAAATTAAAATGAAGTTGTTTTGTTTAAATAAAACGACAAAAAAAATTATTTCAAACACTTCTCCAGTGATGTGTCAAGCTTGTTAGTACGGATACAAAATGTTTGGCCAAGTCACTACTTAATGCCACGTATAGGCAAGTCTATTAACATTAACAAACCGGAAGAGACAAAATGGCTGAACATATATGACTAAATTGGTAACTTAAAATTATAATGGACTAAGTTGATAAGGTGAAAAAATATAAGGGGCTGAAATGTATATTTATTCTTGATTTTTGTTTTTTGTTTTTTTAAACAAAATTATTATTGTTTTTCCCATTATCTATTCTTCAATTCTTCTCTAAAAATTATTTATGGTTTCTCTACGATAATAAGGATAATAATATGTTGATAAAAATAATTAATATTTTCTTTGATTTTGACAAAGGTAGTTAAATAATAACATTTTTTTTGGAAAACCAACCATAAAAATAACAAAGGAAGAATATTATTATATGTGATTATTTTATACATTAAATTACATTACATTTTCAGTATCATTTAAAAATAAAAAAATTGCATGTTAGTTTTAGGGTTATTAGAGAGAAAATAGATATCCAAATTTTTTTTCTTTCTGAATGAGTTTCTCTATATGGAGTGATTTTTTTGACAGCGTGGCAAAGAAATAGTAATAATATGTAGTTTTTCAAATAAATTAAATGTATGAAATAGTAATAATAGATATATGGGTTAAACTTTAACAAAATAGATATATTTATTGATTAACTTTAATAGTCAATCCCTAAATATATGGGTTAAACTTTAACAAAAGTTACCCTATATGATTATCTAGATATACTATGTAATTATTCTTTTGTGATTATCTTATTTATTTTAGTTACTTTGAGATAAAACAAAATTTTATTATTCTGATAAGAATAACATTAAAGATTATTTTAATGTAGAACTTTGACCTAATTAGTAATTACAAGTATATGTATTGGGTGGAGAGAGAATAAAAAAGAAAACTTCATAACTGGTATATAGTTGCAGCCTATAGAAGAGTATGAGTAAATTGGAAAGAGGTGATTTTAACTTCCAATTTTATTGTTCATTCATATCATGATATGTTATGTTCTTCTTCTTCTTCCTATATTATGTGTCAAATTCCTTAAATACTCTTAAGCTTGAAATAAATAACTTTCTCTCTCGTAGTTCTTTTAATTTTTTTAGGGATCTGTTTTAACAATTGAAATTTGGGTAGTCATAACTACACAAATTCTAGATTAATATTGCCTAGTTAGTGATATGAAAAAGGATGGAATAGTAATAAATTTTTTTAAGATTATTATGGTCTCAGTGGCATTGAATACAAATGTTAATCTTAATGAATTGAGATGTGAATTTCTAATACTTCTTCAATAGTGGTTTGGGTTACAAACCTTATTCCCTCTAATTGATAAAAGGTGTTTTTGTTTCAAAAAATCCACTTAGTGTTTTGATCCTTAGCCTGCAAAAACATTAATTTTAGTTGTTAGTGGCGAACAAGGATCTGGTGTCCCGGGCCAATTACAATTTGTTATTTAATTAAAATATAAAATTATAAAAATATAAAATAATATTTTATATTATTTAGTGGATTTTTATTGGATGGAGACAGAAGAACATTGTCCATTTGGGACAGAGGATCCATGTCCGTTAGTGGCTTAGGTGGAGGATAGGGGCTCTTAACTTGTTTCAGTTTAAAAAAATGAAATGAACTTAAGCAGTAGGAGTCCTGGACTCAAAGCTCTTAATTTTAAGTGGGTTTAATAAAATAAAATTAAAATTACTAAATTCTCTTTTTCCTTCAATACCGAAGTATCCGGTACTAAAAATAATTCCAACCACATGTCTCACACTCCTATCTCAAATAAAATTGTCTAGTGTGAACATACTCCTTGATCCTTGGTATAAAAAGTGAATATGTATATAGATTAGATAATATGATTTTATGAAGTATATATCTATTCTATACTAATATAAAGGGAAAACACAAAATAACCACCCATGATGGTGTAATTTTTGTTTCCTATTTTGCCCCTAGTAATATGTTATCACAACAAGTGGCTATGAAAGGTAGAATGAATCAAATCTTGCCATTCCTTCATAGTCACATGTAACAAGTTAGTTTTGTTGTTGGGTAAGAGTTTAATACATATATTGCAAGTGTAAAAATTTATTATATTATTAACATATTATTCATTATTTATATATTAATTATTATTAATTCTTAAATTAATATAATACATGTGAATGCTGAATAATATATTAATCGTGTAAAAAAATACTTTGGATGAATAAATATTAAACTAGTTTGGTAATGGAAAATTGATCCTAATCTCATTTTCCAAGATTACCAAAACAAATTGAAGTGTTGAACCAAGTTCCCTTATCATGTCACGTTACCACAACAAGGATCATAATGGGGGCAACTATAGATTATAGTATTATTACATTTATATTTAGATTTGATGCGTTCAACAAATTGTAGTTGTTTATTACTTAAAAAAACAAATATGTTTTTACATGGTATTAGCTGTTGGTATTAATAGTTAAGACGTTACTATATTCATATAAGATCTCACTAAATCCTAGATAGACAAAAAAACAGAGTGTTCGATTTATGGGAAATAACATTTATTAAAAGAGCAATCATGCAATTTAAAAGAAATTAATTTATTACTCTTAAAATGAATGACTATGTTGTTGTGGAAAACTATTAGTATTAATGAGACAAGATGACGTGGGTGCACCAGAAATTCATCCATTCAATAAACCTGACACCTGCACTGGACAAAAAGTGTTTGGTCCCATGTTACTTTTTCATGAGTTTTTATGAATTGCCTTGGCATTGTATTTTTTTATGAATATGTTATATAAATAATAATGATAGTATAAAAACTTAACTGAATAAAAAATAAAATAAAAAACCCTAACACTGAATATAAAAAAAATCAATGACATTATTTACCCTGTGATATATATCTTTTAAGGAGTCTAAGACTTTTTAGGTTGAAATGTAGAATGATTTAATATGTTTTGAAACTTAAATTACATTGTTTTCCAAAACATGTTAGCAACTAATATCTTGAGATTAGCTTTCGTGTGCAGTGTTTTTTACAATGTTTTAAAAACCGTGCCGGCCGGTTCAACCGGAAAACCGGTGAACCGGACCCCTAACCGGTATAGTACGTATGTTATACCGCATATGCAATAGAACCAGTCAAAACCGGTAAACCGGTCGGTTTGTACATTAATTTTTTTTTTTTTTTAAATTTCAAATTTTCAATTCTTCACCAATTCTTCAACTTCAATGATTGATATTTGAGTCATTTATTTGTATTTTGCGTTTGTTAAGTGATAATTTTGGATAAATATATGTTTTGTACTTTAGACTTTGATTTTATTTAAGACTTAATGTTGTTTGTTTGTGTGAATTTGAAGTAAATTATGAATATGGATTATAAATATGAATATCTACTTATTTAAAATTTGTTGTGATAGGTTTATATATATATATATATATATATATATATATATATATAAGCAAGTATGTCCGGTTTAACCGGCATGCGGTTTAATTACTGAACCACTGGTTGAACCACTGTACCACTATACCAGTACGGTTTTAATAACATTGGTTTTTTATATGCACATGAAACATTGCTCCACTCTCTAG